CCCTTGTCTTGCATGAGCCTGTCTGCTCTGAAAGAATTACTGTAATGCTCTAATGATTAGCTTTTGATTTATGATGGTTTGTGTCACCCAACAGCTTGTGAACAGTAAACCTTGCCTACTTTTTACACCCTGTCTGAAGTCAGACACCTTTACAGACATAGTACATAATTAGCTGCTGTGAACAGCCAAATCCCAAATGCTTCCTTTCTGCTTAAGAAGCAGCAGTGAATGGGTTCCAGAGAAGTAGGACCTTCTTGTAACATGTCAATGGGACAGAGACATCTAAAATCCTCAGGTATGAAATCCAAAATAGAAAGAAACAATAAAAAAAGGGAAAACAAAAATATAATACACCTCTGTAATGATAGGAGGCAAAAGACATTCAGAGGACTGTGAGCACAGGATTTCCAGTGGTTTAAGTTTTAGCTACAAACATTATTCAAAAAGGTCTCTATAGCAGCTGACAAAGAAATATTGCCTAAAACAAAAGCCCTTAGACAAATATAAGGAAAAGCAAATACAGAGATGGAATGAATATGATCCTTAGAATGAAGACAGTCATAATTCTTTCCATGAGGTTTGTGCAGATGGTGGGAAAACAGCAATGCTTAGCTCAGAACAGTGCAGGTAGCAAGGTCTAGGAGGTGCCTCTCTTTTCCAAAGAAGTAGCAAATCATTTGAAAGACAAAAAGATAGGAACTCACTCACTGGATCACACTTAAATATCAAACCTGAATTCTCTCCAGTACTATACTGCTGCCACAGAAGATGTAAAGCACCCTTGGTGGCTGACTCTGCCCAAGGACCATTTCTTTCCAGCTGTCGGTATATGAGTAAAGCTCAAATTCTGGAATATGTTTTCTCCAGAATTTTATAAATTGATGTGGATTTTCCCAGTATATTTTTGACACGTTTTCTTCTGAATGTTACCATATTATTGCAGTCAAAATGCCTCACATGCTATATTTAATAGTTTTCTGGGGGAGGGAGGTTTGGAGCACAAGTGGCTCTCTCAGAGGCAGTCCTTGGAAATGTTTGAACATGACCACAAGGGCCATGAAGAGGATCTGTGTGTCTGGCATGGCAAAAAGGGTATATTTTGACTTCCTAGTCTTTGAGATCACTGGATTTCTAGGATGTAAAAAAGCAGAAAAATATCTTGTCTCTGCTTGGACCTGAAATTCAAGTTGAGCTTCCTTCTTTCTGGCAAGTTACAAATCACAGGATAAATCCTTGGTAATTTCTACCTTAAATTTCATCTATCAAGCACTTGGACTCCTGAATGTGATGTTCTGTAAATTTGGACCTCTGAAACATTAATTTTCAGTTGACTTATTTTTCAGCAGAAAGAAATGTAAATGGAGAAGGGAAAATAGTATCCAGCTCATTTTTCTATGGCCGTCTTAGCAGTGGAATAGGGAGCAAAACATTTTTATCATTCAGTACCATAGAGAGGACTGATCATCTTTGTGCAGCAGATCCTTTTAAGTGAATAGATATCCATGTCACAGAGGCATTTTTCCATAGTAGAATTATTTTCCTTCTCATTTTTCCGCTTCTGTGTAAAGTGGTGTTTTTTTTTTTTTTTTTTTTTTTTTTTTTTTTTTTTTTTTTTTTTTTTTTTTTTTTTTTTTTTTTTTTTTTGTGGTTTTTTTTTTTGTTGTTGTTGTTGTTTGTTTTTTTAGTGGGTTTGGGGTTAGTGCTTTCCAAATTTAAAATGGTTTTTAGGAATTAATTCTAGTTCTTGCTAAACCACTCTAAAAAAAGTATTGCATACTAATCACTGAGAGGACTCATCTGTCTTATTTTTAAGAAATTGAAGGAAAGTTTCCAAGTAAACATATAAAAATATGATCTTTACTGAACTGCAACAGCTATGTAACTACCCTGTGCTGTTCTGAGGAGCTTTTTGAGTACCTATATTATAAAGCTACAGGTTAAAATTTAACACTAATTATGACAGCTATATATTTATTGTGAAAACAAATGTAAATAGGTTCAAATCAATATCCAACAACAAAAATTAGTGTTTTTCATCAAATTGGAAGATGCTTTCAACTTGGCACCATAAACAAAGACTATTTTCCTGCCACATGTGTCTGCCTAGCTATATATGTGGACCACAGTTAATTTACCTACTACTAGGGAAGCACCTTGATGTTAAGGACATACCACCTGCTGTATTGTTTATTCTGTTTCTGCATCTATGAGTCCAGTTTTAATTTAGTATTGCAATGCCTTAACTCCCAGCTGAGAGCTTATAAAACAACTGAAGGTTAAATCATCAGTTAACATAATTGAAACCGGTTTCTTTTTTGCCTTTTTTCCCCACCCACTCTGCATGTAAATCTCTCTATTTGCTCCCGTGTTTTGATTTCTACAGCAGAAATCACTCCAAGTCTGCTTTGGGTGAAGATTCTCACTCAAATTGCCTGTGTAGGTAAAGTTTCGAACAACCAAAAGAAACAAAGATTAATCTAGGGATTTTCTGTGAAATTAAAGAAAAATCTCTGAGACGTAAGGCATTTTAGGCATTTTAAGCAATAAACTGGGTATTACAATATGCAAATGAATGAAAGGAAAGCGGCGGGGGAAGGAGAGGCATGGAGAGGGAAAGGTGACAGTTTTGCTGAGGAATTCTCCTGTCAGTTTCCCTAGGGAGGAGAGAAACAAAGTGGGGAGAAAGTGGGAGGAGAGCAGTGTGAAAAGGCTCTTGGATACCATGGAGATGGGTACAGTGTAAAAATCTGTATACTGTAGATAAGTAAGTGGGAGGTTGATATCAAACTCCTACCAGCCAGAAACTGGCTTTGTGCAGGGTAAACATGTTAAAGGGCTGGGGAGCAGGAAACATTGTTTAAGCCTTTGCCGTACTGTTTGCCTACTTAACACTTAGGAGAGTGAAGGGAAGGGACAAATAAATGTTTTCCAGCCTGTGCTTTTCAGTATGACTGTTCTCTTATCTATATTCAGTTTACTAGGAAGGGTAAATTATTTTCCATCGCTTTTTTTTTCCATTGAAGTTGTTTTGCTGCTCCAGATCTGCTCTTTTTTGTCTTTTCCTGTAATTTCAGACTTAGTTTGATTAACTGGGAGCTCATAATAAATTATAATGCTTTTCCATGGTTCGTGAATGTGAGGAAGAAAATGTGACAGATTCCTGAGGAACTAAATGTTACTTTATGTCTGAATAAGACAGTGTGTTTTTAAAATTCAGTCTTTGTATTACACTGCTTTGAAAGACTGTCTCTGCTCATTTTAGAATTTCTTTGTTCTCTGCTTCTAATTTTTATGCTTTCGATGCCTGTAAGACTGCTGTTATTTATATCCATGGCTATAGGAAAAATGCTGTAGTTTGTACATATGACATTGTACTTCCAAGAACTATTGAATTTTTTTTATTTTAAAATTTAGAAACACTGTAGAATGATGAGTGTGGTTTTCAGAAAATTGTTATTTATGCTATTGGTCCTTCCAAAAATGCAAGCTGCCTGCTGCCTGTGAATCAGAGTAAGGCACACTGATATTTTTTTATGTTTTATCCACAAGTTTAACTTTAGAATTATGCCCAAACAAGTGAATTACTTTTGTAAATGCTGTGCCTTCTGTAAAATTTAGAGGACTTGGATGAGGAAACTGTTCTTATCCCTGTCAGTTGTACCCTTTCCTTTTTGTTCAGGGGGGCTTCCTGGCCACAGACTGACTCATGAAGTTATAATAAAAGCAGAGTTTTGCAATGGCCCTGCCTATGCATGTGTGCATTCAGGAGGAAGCATGGTGCAGCAAGGTTCTTAAGACTTTGATTTCTTGTGCTGGAGGACACACAGACTGAGGTGTTTGTTCTCCTGGTTGTACTGAAGGTGTGTACTGGAAAAGTCCTGCAGGGAGGAATGGGGACGTGGGGTGCTGCTGTAGGGGCTGTACATGTCTGTCTCTTAGCAGCCTCATCCCTGGCTATTAACCTTGACCAAACAGCAACAGCGGTCTTTGTGAAAAATAAAAATGTCTCTATTCCCTAAAATATTTTCCTTTCTGAATTTTCAGAACCAGTGTGATGGTTCTTGATGTCTTCTTAGACATTAGAAGCCCAGGATTTCCTGACAGTGGCTGTGCTGGCCTCTTGTCTGTGGAGACTAACATGTGGTTTTTTAAGTTTCAGACTTTAAAGGGTGTGTGTTGACCTCCAAGGGAAAATGTGAAGAAGCCATCTCAGAGCGTGATTTTTAATTGGCTTTTTCTCAGGAACCACAAAAGAAAAGCAAAGTTTAAGCTACAGTTTTACTGATGTTGATATCACACAGGGCGTAAATTGTAGATTTAAAAGTTGGATTACAATGAGGTATTGTGTGCTTCATGTACAGATTGTTGCTGGTAGGACCACCAAAGTTGGTTGTCTATACCAAAATAGGTGATTTTAATATGTAAATCTGTGAAGAAAAGGGTTATAGGTGCTGGTAAGCTCCAACAGCATTTCTCACTGGCTGACAGAAGCATCAGAGCATGGTGGATGCGGTGAACCACAAACTTGGGATCTTCTCTGTCCCTATTCCATTCAGTTTTCTACTCTGGAGTTTTGAGTTGTCTACTGGAACTGGCTGTGTGGAGAGGGAAATGCTGTGCTTTGGAATTTGGACCTGAGTGTTTTATGACAAGATGCTGTGACTGCAGGGCCACGTGTGCAAAATGAGGAACAACAACATCATTGACTGATAACATACTCTCTTTCTAAGTAGAGCATTTTTAAATATGGTCTTGGGTTCTTTTACACAACTTTTGATATTGTAGTTAATGTGAGAAAGTGAAACTAACTTTACAGGCAGGTAATAAGCAGCTAATTTTATAAGATTCTTCTCTGTTTGCAGTTCCTAATGAGTGGAGTTCAGATTTACATCACCTGATAGCTAATTTGATGCAAATGCAGTGTTCCAGCAATCATTGGCTCTTCTTCATGTGATTTTAAAAATATATGTACAGTAACGCCTGTTTCTTTGTTGCCACAGGTTCTGCCTGGCATACTGCAGAAGCATTGCTGCATTTTACCTGACAGGAACACAGGTAAACTTTTTTCTTAATGAGTTAACATTGTAATATGATTTGGAGAAATGCAAACACAAATTGAATTATATTGAGAAGCCTTGTTTGCTATTTATGGCCACTGAAGTTATCTTATAGGGAGTGATTAATTGGATGTTTTGTTTAAATTACCTGCTTTCATGTGAAGACTGTGTATTCTGTTAATTTTCTGGAGCTGTTGCAGTTGTAGAGGTTGCTATCAGGTCTTGCTTATAAAGGTATTTGTATGAACTTCTGAAGCATTTCTGTGTTGTTAATTATAAAGTTACGACTTTGTCAAGAAAGGAGATTTAATACTGAAGTCTGGAGTCTGGTCCTCTTGATTCACAAAGGTGCCAAGCATGAAGTCACACACAGCTCTTACTGCAGATAAATGCTTGCTCTATGCTTATTTTTCAGAGTAGAGGAGTAGACTGGAGTAGTAGACTAAAGGGGTAGACAGAATGAGTATCACGAATGATGCCAGAGGAAAATTAGAGTTGTTTGCAGGAGGAAACTTAGAGTAGTGTGTTTGTGACCAGAACAAATCAATTGATGAGAATGATATTGGGTGAGAAGAAAGTTATGATTTAATTTTACATTCTTTTATGACAGGAAAAAAACAATTTCTTTAAAATAAGTTTTAAAATCCTTTCAATAATATTATAAATTGAGTTAAAGTGACTGTGTATGCAACTGTGAGTATGATTTGACAGACTAATTTCAGAGAAGTAGGAGGAAAAATATAGTTTTTTCTTTGATATCTTCTTAACAGAATATATATGATTGCTTGCATCTCTTAAGGCTACATCCCCTCTTCCCCTAGTAGCTACCATTAAAATAAACTGATTTGCTCCTTGGCTTGCAACTAATTGTATTTCAGGCACAGTTTGCACTAAAGGTAATTACAGAGAGAACTTGAGAACTATGTTGAACTGTAGAGGGACTTGTGGTTACCTGCAAATGCTCAAAAGAAATTTAAAATCTGATTTCCATTTTATCTGTGAACACGATAGAAGTACTACAGTAAGACAGGTAATAATATACCCTTTCTAGCAAGAATTTGTAAGTTCATAATTAGTCTGAAGACAGACTTTGGCTTTCGTAATAATTTCAAGATTTCCTGAAAAGTGGACTTGGTGTAACGACCTCAGCTCAGTCTGTGTGCTCCTTTTCTAGTATCCTGTGCCAATTATTTTGATTCTTTTATTTGTAATATAAGAACTCGATCCAGATTCCATTGACAACCAAACTCTTCTCAACTTATACGTAAGTGTATCGCGTGGATATCAAAGCCAGTGTTGCATGAAGTAATGGTCTGGGTATGGGCAGTAAGACGGACCATTTATCTAGAGAGGGTATAACATGCCTTTATAACCAATATCAAGAAAGCCACGTATCTAAAATCTCAGTCACCTTCAAAAGTGCCTTCATTTGGGCATAAAAAAAAGGAAGGCTCTTCCTAATGTAAAATTTGTTTTTGAAAACTTTGAACTAAGCTCTTTGAAGAGGAAACCTATCAGGTTTACGTAGGTAACAACTGCTGGACAACTCAAGCATACTTATGTGTGAAAATAGTTGTAAGTTCTATTGCTGCTGTGTGACTGCTGCAGGAAGTATTTTTATGCCTACCTACTGTATAGTGGGAAGTTGCCAGCAAGTGCAAAGTAAATTATGTCTGTGTTCCATTGTCCCCACTTCCCCCATTTACAGTGTTTAAATACTTGGCAAAGAGAAGGAGAAGGAGAGTTTAGACAGGCCATGGGGGATTTTTAAACTCCTTTTTGCAGGAAAAGAATGACTAAATTTGTGTTTGATTCACTGAGTCTCTTAGAGATAAATGACCCTTCGTGTTGTTTGATTACATCTAAATCAACTACTCCAAACTAAGAAGAAATTCATTAAATATGGGTAAATGTGGAATGTACTATTTGCATTCGAATGTATACATCAGACATAATCTTGTCCAGCTCCATTCTCAGTAAATGAGCCCAGAAAAATTGCCTGATTGCGAGCTGTAGGTCTGTTTGCATTCAGCTGTTGACATTTGGAGGAACTGAGCAATATACAGGCTTGGATGTTGTTCCTAATGATGAGAGAAGGATAAAGAGAGATGGACTAGGGGGAGGGATGGGAGAAGAAAGAGGGGAAGAATCATATAACGAGACCGACAAAACTGTTAGGGAAGAACACAGATGCTGTAGGGAGTATGGGTGGGTGAAAGGGAGAGGTGCAGTAGTAGTTTCTCCACTTATTTATATCCATTCAACACTTCAAGTGTAGCCAGCTTGGTGGTCTTTGGCTCCTCATTCAAGAGTGCCTTCATGACCAGCCTCTCTCATGCTGTTGCACTGGAGCTGCACCTCAGAGAAAGAAACAAGCCCTTGGGAACAGCAGGGCCAGTGCTGCCAGGCCATTCTTTCATCTGGCTGCCCTTCAGACCTAGCCTGTTTGATTCTTGGAGAATATATGCATTTAATCTTAAAAGTAATATGCCCCTGGATTGCCTGTACTCTAGAAAATTGTGCATATTGCTGTCCTTTCCTACACTGTGTAGGACACTGAAGTAACCACACTTTGTGGTACTGATATTCTGTATTTGTAAACTGGAGAAAAGAACTATGCATGGAAAGAAGGGTACATGGCAGCAATGATCTCCTTCCCGTGGTGATGATTTGTTAGTACTCCTACCATGAACTTTTATTCTCAGTGCTTATAACTAAGCGATAAAAATATCTCCTGCAGAAACTTTTAAAAGGGAGCATAAAAAATGTAATTCAGCTGTTCCACAGCAATGCAATTTTGGAAGAAGGTACATATTTAACAAGATTAGGTATTTCAAAGGTTAAAGAATGATTAATTTTCAAACATGTAAGGCATTTACAGAATTTCATTCTCTAAATATAACATTGAATACTGCTAGTTGGCTGCTTGCATTAAACTTTGCTAATAGACAGTGATGTTTCATTTCTTAAGTGTTAATTTATTTGTGGCTTTCCATTAATCATATTTTCATTGCTAAATTAAAAGTTCATATAGCATGCACTTGCATAGTATGTGCTCATTATCATGTTAGCTAATATCCAGAACCTGTATTTATGACATAATCTGTGCCTCAAGAGGCAAAAGATCCCAGACCAGACATGTTTATTCTGCACTTCTATTTTATATACCATAATCATACTGTAAGAATTTTATTGATGTCCCTGCTAAGTTTTTTCCATGTCTTGGAACTGAACCAGCCAGCAACAACTGGGATGCATTAGCAGTTATAAAGTTAATTGGAAGAAAAGCAGTTACATGCTCTGTACAGGCATTAGTAACAAGATCGTAAGGGGAAACAGTGTGAATGACCTGGTAGGGAGCAGCTTCCTTATTTTCTTGAATTATAACCCTCTTTCTCTCCAGCTCCAGCTGGGAGAAATAACCCACCCCTTTTGATGGACATCCACCATCCTCTGTGTACATATGCAGCTGGCTCATACTCCCTTTATAAATATTTCCTAGCAATGATCCGTCCCCTGTTAATGGGAAATCTTCAGCGAAATCAGAAGTCCCTCCCATTTCTGCATGGTCACTTCTGTAAACCTTAGGCAGATGCTGAGGCTGTCCTTCCCTGCTCCCTCCCCCCTTAGAGAGCTGTTCACGCAGTATGAGCACTACACTTGGTTTGTACCCTCAAAATGAAGATAGCCGTTAAATGCAATATGTTTTGGCATTCCTAAACAAAAAACTGAGGGGTTAAAATGCAGATTTGAAACAGAAAAGTGAATGTACGCTGCTGTGTGTTGCTTTTTATTTAAATTTATGTATTTTTTAAATTTATTTTTATTTCCAGTCTTGCTTGAAATAGAACTCTTCAGGCAGTACATGTGGGTTGTTTAGATGTAGAAAATTTCATGCAAATAAAAAGAGGAAATATATCTGAAAACTTATGCTTTTGTGTATGCTGTGTTTAAGCAGTCTTAGAGCAGATAAGTGAATTATTTGGGGTTTGATTTTTATTTATCCCAGGGCTCCTTGTACCATGATCTAGCACAATAAATGATCCTCAAGGTGAGCACAAATATACTTGGTGCAGTAAAACGTGACTTATCAATGGGACTCATTAATAGAAGGCGCTTGGTGTGATTTTTACCATTGCTACAGCTGTTAAATGGACACTCTTGCACTGCTGAGATGCTGATAGCTGTGTGCTTTGTCTGCCTCTGTGGTGCTCTTGATACACAATTATTAGTTTCCAAATTGCACGAAAAGCTTCTGTACTATTTTTTTCCGTTGTAGCCATGAGTTTGATATGTTGTGGACTGCAAATTTGGGCTTATTTTTTCCACTGAAGATCCCAAAGAAAGGAATGAATCAACAACAGTTGCTAGCAGCTTCTTGGGCTGATTCTTTCTTTGAAGTTTTAGCATGAATTTCCCCTCTCATTGTGAAGGGGAACATAGGTACAATAAAGAGCACTGGCACTGATCATACTGACTTTATTCTGATAAATAGCTCTTTGAGCAACACTTTGAGCAACACTCTTTAAAAAAAAATAAAAAGGAAAAGATATTTCTGCTGTCTCAAGTTTCTTCATCATCCATTTTCAGATCAGCTCTTATGTACTGATATTGATCTTGCACAAGATGTGAAATCTTTCATTATAATCATCCTCTTTTGTCCACTGCATTGGCTAAAATTACACTGAAAAAAAGTGTGACCAATGTTCTGCTTTCTGCAAAGAATGAATAATATCTGCTTTAGAGAGTGGTAATTGCTTTATATACAAAAGCGGGAGTTTAATAATAACCAATCTCTTCATTGGGTAAACTACAGCCCAAGACAGGAATGTTTCATCCTTGCTTGTTTGCTTTTCTTCCTGTTGCTTGAAGAGCAAATATTGAACAGAAGAAAAATCTAAGATGGTATTAAATAGAATTCCTGCACTAAACTTTACTAAATTGGATAAAGAAGTCAACATTACTTTTTTTTTCCCTTTAACTATATCTACAACAGTA